CTCATTTCTTGAGTACTTCTAGGCCTTTACCATTTTTGTTTTACTTCCATTGGCTAAGACATATTGTTGCTACAAATATTCTCAGCAATATGCATACTCGAATCGAGTGTACATATTGGCATGCAATATGTTATTAGTACTACCGCTTCTTGCCACACAGTCAATCGTCAATTCCCATGTATATACCATATTTGTTGAAGATTTCCAACTGTACTATTTATTGAAGGACTTGTGCTATTGTGTTTATTTACATTCTTTTTGTTTTTGCAAACATGGATATTTTGGTTGATGCATTTAGTTCAAATAAAACTTGCATCGTGTTCTCTTACTTTTTTATTTAGTGCTCGTTGATGCGCAACCCCTACGTGCTTTTCTGCACAATCGGGCTTGCCGTAATATTCAAGGAAGTGAAAAGTGTTGCTCTATATAAGTGCATGTCATTCATTAACTAGGCATCTTAAGTATAGATTGATCAAATAAAACGGTGCATTTACAAGACAGAAGTTCTGTAAAGTGAGGCTTGACGAGATGAATATTCTTAACACGACGTGGTAATAGACACTTCAATAAGTCTAATCTTGACAGCAATGTGGGGTAGAGAGAGGGTGGGGGGGCTTCAATACATCGCTGCTAGTCAAAACGATGGCTCCAACAACAGTGGTCAAATAGTGTTTTTTTTTTTCATTGAGCCAGTTTCAAGCAACGAAATGGCTTTGTTTTCCAACACCTGCTTGCCTCGTAAAAAGCCTGGGTTCGATTGTCGCGTTAGTCGAATCTTTTCATTGATAAATGCCTTTTTTATTTATTTCCACCTTTCTCGACTCCACGTGATAACGAACAGAGGGACGGAAAAACAGGCTGTTTAACTCGTTGAGAAAGTGAATAAAATGCTATCATTTCATTGTTTTTTAACGCCGATGCAACACAGCTAGGTGCCTTAGATTCATTTGTTCTCTTCAAGCGTCGATGTGTCCAATATATTGCAATAAAAAAAAAGTTGCTGTATAGCCTAATGCTTAAGATGCTTGACTACAAAGGGGCTAGGTCTGACCCCCAACGTCACCACGAAATATATTTTTTATTTAGTCATCCGTTTATGAGACACAAAGACGGGCGGGAAAGCCAAACTTTGTCGTTAATTTATCATAGAAATGCTTGCGCCCTGAAGTGATATCATATTTCGCTTCCATTGCCAATATATAGCACACTTGTACTGTTCAGATAATCTCAGCGTCTGCAGGCGGTGGTATTTGTCCAGTGGACAAGATGTCCTGCTTCTGAACATAAGGGCGTAAGTTCGAAATCCCTGGCAGCATAGTAAATTTTCGTTTTCCACATTCCTTGTGTGTGTGTGTGTGTGTGTGTGTGTGTGTGTGTGTGTGTGTGTGTGTGTGTGTGTGTGTGTGGTGTGTGTGTGTGTGTGTGTGTGTGTGTGTGTGTGTGTGTGTGTGTGTGTGTGTGTGTGTGTGTGTGTGTGTGTGTGTGTGTGTGTGTGTGTGTGTGTGTGTGTGTGTGTGTGTGTGTGTGTGTGTGTGTGTGTGTGTGTGTGTGTGTGTGTGTGTGTGTGTGTGTGTGTGTGTGTGTGTGTGTGTGTGTGTGTGTGTGTGTGTGTGTGTGTGTGTGTGTGTGTGTGTGTGTGTGTGTGTGTGTGTGTGTGTGTGTGTGTGTGTGTGTGTGTGTGTGTGTGTGTGTGTGTGTGTGTGTGTGTGTGTGTGTGTGTGTGTGTGTGTGTGTGTGTGTGTGTGTGTGTGTGTGTGTGTGTGTGTGTGTGTGTGTGTGTTTCTTAAGTTGCAGAGGGAAACGTTTTTTCTGTAATGTTCCACTTGGTAATGACATAATACTCAACCTTGCTTATACGCATCGGCATTGATCAAAAGTACCTCAAATGCGCGCATATGCTGACGCTCTGTATATCGACGACGCAAAACTACACAATATACCACAATGTTTTCAGCGTAACGAAAGTAACCAGTCCAGTTTGTTGAAAATTAAGGGATAGTTAAAAGTGTTCAAAATTGAGGGTCCCTAGTGCGTATTTCAACCACTAAGTACATGCTTTTTATTGTGTGCTGTTACTCGAGAAGTTTAAATTGTGAATTATTACAACGTAATCGATAAAGGTCAAAGTGGCTTGTCTCAGCTTTAGCATATGTTTGCCTTGTGTGTAATGGGTAGCACGCTTCAAGCCACAGGCAATTATGCGCTTGAAATCTTTTCTAACTTGCTCTGCCCCATCCACGTGGCCTTAAGGGAATAGGCGCGGTAAATTGTTTGGCCTTTGTGGGTGGCCGGTTTTAAACCGTGAAGTCATTATCATAATCACTAGTTCTGAGTCCGATGACAATGTATACTTGGATCCCACACTAATACTGTCATACTAAATATTGTAGTGCGAAGCATGTATATAGGACGCAAGTGTTTTTAAAGCATGAAGGTAACTTTCACCTCAATCCCAAGAAGAAGTATTTTACATTGTATTTCCAAGCAGACGTGTGGCTCTGTGGTAGAACATCTGCTTGTCATGCAAACGAGCCAGGTTCGATCCTCATTCGTGCTCGAAATGTTTTAATATTTATTTGTTTCCTATTTGCATCTTTCTAAATTTTTCGGCTACGTTTAAAATGATTATTTATCACTCACAACCAAACATGCCCACACGAACGCCGTAAGTTCTGTTAAATGAGCTCTTTGACGCTTTCGTAGTAAAACGAACAAAGGTTCGGCGCTGTTCACCAGGAAACCCGATAGCTTGGGTTTCCTGGTGAACAGCGTATTTAGGTGAGAGAAGTTCGACGCGAGGCTTCCCCGGAATTGTTGGTTCACCACAATAGCTATTCAAATGCAATAAAAAAAGTAGAGGCCCTTCTCACCCCTAATAAGGCTCAACTTTTGTCTAACGTCATACTTTGCACCGATGCGCCATCTATGCGCTTTCAGAGTGAAAGGTTCGCCTGGTACGTTGGCTTCACTGCACGAAGGGTGAAAAACAGTCGAGAAAGTTTCGCCCCTTATCACCGCTGATAAGGCTTAAGTTTTGTCTGACGTAACACCATGCAGCGATGCGCCTTCTATGCTCTCTTTCCGCGATCGAAATTCCCCCGTTACGTTGGCTTCACCACACGAATGGCCAAAAACGGTCTAAAAAGTTTTGCCCCTTATCACCCCCGATAAGGCTCAACATTTGTCTGACGTCACACATTCCAGCGTTGGGCGTGCTACGCGTTCTTACCGTGTTCAACGTTCCCCAGGCACGTTGGCTTCACTGCACGAAAGGCCAAAAGCAGTCGAAAAAGTTTAGCCCCTTATCACCGCCGATAAGGCTTAAGTTTTGTCTGACGTCACACCGTGCAGCGATGCGCCTTATATGCTCTCTTTCCGAGCTAAAGGTTCCCCGGTACATTGGCTTCCCCACACGAATGACCAAAAATGGTTGAAAAAGTTTTGCCCCTTATCGCCCCCGATAAGGCTCAACTTTTGTCTGACGTAACACATTGCAGCGTTGGGTGTGCTACGCGTTCTTACGGAGTTCAACGTTGCCCAGGCCTGTTGGCTTCACAGCACAAATGACCAAAAGCTGTCGAAAAAGTTTAGCCCCTTATCACCGTCGATAAGGCTCAAGTTTTAACTGACGTCACACCTTGCAGAGATGCGCCATATATGCGCTCTTTTCGAGATAGAAGTTCCCCTGGCATGATTGTTTCACCGCACGAAGGGCCAAAAACAGTCGAAAAAGTTTAGCTCCTTATCACCACCGATAAGGCTTAAGTTTTGTCTGACGTCACACCATGCCGCGATGCGCCTTCTATGCTCTCTTTCCGAGTTGAAGGTTCCCCGGTACCTTGGCTTCACCGCACAAATGGCCAAAAACGGTCGGAAAAGTTTTGCCCCTTATCACCCCCGATAAGGCTCAACATTTGTCTGACGTCACACATTGCAGCGTTGGGAGTGCTACGCGTTCTTACCGTGTTCAACGTTCCCCATGCACGTTGGCTTCACTGCACGAAAGGCCAAAAGCAGTCGAAAAAGTTTAGCCCCTTATCACCACCGATAAGGCTTAAGTTTTGACTGACGTCACACCTTGCAGAGATGCGCCATAAATGCGCTCTTTTCGAGATAGAAGTTCCCCTGGCATGATGGCTTCACAGCACGAAGTGCCAAAAACAGTCGAAAAAGTTTAGGTCCTTATCACCGCCGATAAGGCTTAAGTTTTGTCTGACGTCACATCATGCAGCGATGCGCCTTCTATGCTCTCTTTCCGAGTTAAAGGTTCCCCGGTACGTTGGCTTCACCGCAGAAATGGCCAAAAAAACGGTCGAAAAAGTTTTGGCCCTTATCGCACCCGATAAGGCTCAACTTTTGTCTGACGTCACACATTGCAGCCTTGGGCGTGCTACGCGTTCTTACCGAGTTCAACGCTCCCCGGGCACGTTGGCTTCACTGCACGAATGGGCCCAAAGCAGTCGAAACTTTTTAGCGCCTTATCACCACCGATAACGCTTAACTATTGTCTGACGTCACACCATGCAGCGATGCGCCTTCTATGCTCTCTTTCCGAGTTGAAGGTTCCCCTGGTACGTTGGCTTCACCGCTCGAATGGCCAAAAACGGTCGAAAAAGTTTTGCACCTTATCACCCCCGATAAGGCTCAACTTTTATCTGACGTCACACAATGCAGCATGGGCGTGCTACGATGCTCCATCTGTGGGCTCTGTCCGAGTTAAAAGTTTCCCTGGCACGTTGGCTTACCTCACTTGCGGGGGAAAAACGGTTAAAAAATTTAGCCTCTTATCACCACAGATAAGGCTCGACTTTTTTCTGACGTCACACCTTGCAGCTCTGTGCCTTCTCGTGCTATGTGTCCTTTCAGAGTGAAAGTTCCCCTGGAGTGTTGGCTTCACCGCAATAGGGGACCAAATACGGTCGAAAAAGTTCAGGCTCTTAATACTTCCCGATAAGACTCAAACTTTGTCTGACGTTGCAATTTGTAGTAATGGGCGTGCAGAAGAATGAATAAACTTTATTTATTGTTCGGCTGAGGTGAGGGAAAGAGGGGAATAAACGCTATCTCGTCCCATCCTCCGTCGATGATGATGGTGGTGCCTCATGTGACGGCTTGAATGGATTGGACCCAGGCGGCATATTTGGCTTGCTGAACGGACCTACAAAAGAAAAAAAAAAGGAGATATTGCAACCATTAGATTCGAACCTAGTCCGCTACGTTCTTAAAGCGAGCGCGTAAGCCATTAGGCTATGCACAGAGCCTTTTTATTTTTCAATTAAATGCAGCTGAACCATACGCGTGCCTCTTACCGACGAAGAAGAGAAGAAAAAAACCGTCTGCCCTGCGCGAGCGATGTTGATGGTCAAACATTTAATAACCATTAAATTGTTACAGAGAGGTGATTGCGTTGGGGGCCTCATTAGCCTCCTCCCCCCACAGCACATGGCGACACCCCTATTCTGGAGCTCCTTTGGCCAGCAACGCCGCCCGCGTCCGTTGAACCATGGCCTTTTGGGCCTACAGGTCCTGACAGCCGAGCAGGGCCACCTTCGAGTCCTCCCTCGTGGGGTTAGGGTTGGGGTTAGGGATTTGACTGGCACGCCCAGACTATGTGGAACGGGTCAGCCACTTCAGAAGGCGCAGAACAGTCACAGCGAAAGTTGCAAGAGCGTCCTGTCAGAGCCTTTTCTAAACACTCATTGGGTAACTACTGCAAGCACACTTGTTTGATACCAAGGACGGCATTAATAATAAAGAAATTTGGGTAGTAGGCCGCCATTCACAATGCTATCCTTAGTCATTCTTCTAAGAAGCGCAGTATCCGCTGAACACTTGCAAGAAATTTTGTGCCAACTGTTCATGCAGTGGCTGACGGCGATAAGGAATTATGCCTGAAACGGGTATGCACCGCAGTTAAATGGGTGATCAAGAACACGCTTTTGTAATGGGTTGGAGCATTGGACGACCCACTCGTATCGCTATTCGCATGTGCGATGACTGGTTGTTCGTTCGCTGTTCTAAAACGCTTTACAAGACGCATTAGCGCGATTCCTTTCCCGGCATCAAGCCTGCATAAGCCAAGTTTGCCAATAAGTCCCAAGCACCGGCGTAGCTCAGTGGCAGAATACTAGGCTGGCACGCAGCGGACCCGGGTTCGTGCCCCGCTGTGGTACTAGGTTTTTCAAGACAATAGTCTTTCTTGGGGGTATTCGACGCAAAAATTTTGGTCTGTCTGTCTGTTCATATTGACGCGTGTGTACTGGTGGACCAAAACGACGATAAGGGGATTTGGCGGGCACCAGGTAGTGGAGCTCTGGCTGATTGAAGATAAAGAAGGTGATCTTGCTGTTCGGCTGCTGAGAGTCGCTGTGTCAACGTTTATGTGCCTTTGGTTCGCGCTGTACCGCGACAATATGTCTGTCTGTCCGCCCTTAATGATACCAAAGTGGCCAAACGATACTCCAAACGGCCGACTCCATCCGCAGCGCCCACCAATATTGCTCAAGATACTTGCGCGATTGTCAATTAAAAAGCAATAATTGTGCATATCTGAAGTGCCATAAAAACGCGTCGATGCTTTGTATGTGTGCCTTTACACTGGAAAAGGCATACAAGTAATTTTAAGGACCGAAGCGTTTATCACGCTGCGCTGGCAGTGACGCGATGCTGAAAAGGAAAGTGTTTCCAATGCTTTGCTACGACGACACGGTGGTGGCCCCTGCCCATCGCTTTGCGTTCTACTTCTTATCACCTCCGGGACAGGAGAGGCGCGCATCTTTCTCCGCGGGTGTGCCCGCCTTCCTTCGTTTTCGAAGATAACTGCCAGACGGCGCTCGTGTCCAACGTGCCTTCCAGTAACTGTATATGGTCCACCATATACAGTTACTCTAACATGCGGGGGACTCGCTCGCTGGATTCCGTGCCGACCGGTTGTGTCCTCACGATCTCCGATGACAGCGCAGCTCTGGCCGACTGGGTTGGTCCTACGCCACCTCCTGCCGCCGGTCCCCTACGACGACGTCAGCGCAGCTCTGGCCGACTGGATTAGCCCTACGCGACCTCCTGTCGCCGACAAGAGCTCTCGCAAGTGGTGCCCCGTCCTCGGACTCCTGTGACCGTGTTTCCATCTTTCCTATCTCTCTAATGTCATCGCTCGCTGTCGTAGCGCATCTCTCTATATATATATACCTTTAATCCTATCCTTTTAATCCCTCCTCACCCCCATCCCTTGTGAGCTACTGTTGATGTGTCGCACGCTGAGACAGTTGCGTGGCTCACCTTTCTCTTCTTTTCTCTCTTATAATCACAAACTCTAACGTGCCTCGATACACTCGTTCGCCTTCGCTGCACTGATAGAGACTCTCTAACGCAGCACTTCCAGAATACAATTGACCAATTTTCTCGTGCATAACATGAAATAAACGTTTTTTTCGCTCTCTCCACACGCAAGGCACATGCAGATACGGGGCCAGATTTTTTTTCCCCGATTTTGTGTGATGTGATTACGAACACCGGCAGCGGATATCTACGGCGCCGCATGTGACCCAAGTTTAGATATTATAACAGCTTTCGTTTTTAAAAGATCGTCATCGCAGTGTTGGGATTCGAATCTAGGGCCTCACGCTCTTAATAAAGTGTGGGCGTAAGCTGCTGAGCTATGCATCGAGGCTTTTTAGTATCGAATGCATCTGAAACATGTCAATGCCTCTTACCGACGAAGGAAAAAAAAGGCACGCTTACGTAGTGATGGAATTAGAACATAGACCCTCCCGCTCTATAGGCAAGTGCGTTAGCCAGTGAGCTATGCACCGATGATCACTTGGATCAAGTGCACCAGAATCATGGGCATGTTCACTGAATGTTTCCACTCTCCTAAGTTTACTAGCACTGCATTGTAATTCAACATACTATCTAGTGCTTATCTCCTCCCCTTGCTCAAGTAGCTTTCATTTATGCACTGGCTACTGTATTGTCCTTGCTTCGTGTATGTTGAAATGTGGTAGGACAACTTTGTATAGGCGGGAAGCGAGGAATAAGGCTGCCAAGCAATGTCAAAAGACAGCTGTGTGCATTCCCGGCTCAATCGGCATAAATCTGTCGTACTGATGGAGCTACAGTACGTTACGAGGGCGACGAGGATTGAACAGAAACCCACGCGGGCAGAGTTTCTAAGGAAGGCCTTGTAGTAATAGGCACTCATATAGTACTTTCGGCGCAGCTTCATGCAAGAAAGAGAGAGAGAAGAATACATTGAGGGAAAGGCAGAGATGTCAACCAGAATTGTGGCATCCGGTTTGCTACCCTGCACTAATGGAAGGGGGAAATAGGAAGAAAGATGACAGAAGAAGGAAAGTGAAGAGAAAAGTAGACGCGCGAAGAAAAAAAAATGAATGGGCTACAGCAACCCCCCGCTTCATGCAAGAGCTGTGCTCCTTGCCCATCGAGGCTACCAAGTCAATGTAAAGACAAAACGATTTGTGCGCACGCTGAAGAAGTCTACTCGCAAGCCGTATCAGCCATTTCCATTGGACCAATGAGCTTCGTGTTCCTGTTAGCTTACCGGTCAACACCACCTGGTTCCACAGAAAAGCCAGTTTGAACAATTTTGTTGGAGACCCATGAGGAATCTTCTTATAAAGCTCACTCCGGGTGCACACAACTCGGCACATTCCGAAGCTAGACAAAATGACGCCCAAAGGAAAGTATACAGCGGTCAATCCGTTGGCGCTCGGGGTCAGAACCGGCTGCGTGTTGGTCAACAAATTTTCTGCAAACGCGACAAAACAAACAAGTTCTCTTGGATCGACCGGCAATGTTTGGCTTAATCGTTTAGATTTTTAGAAAATGATAACCTTATATGACCTTGACATTGATGAATCAAAAACTTCATGCATCAGAAAAAAAAAGCCTCATGAGTCAGATCAAGGTTATATGCAGTTATCATTTTCTAAAAATCTAAAAGAGCCGTCACCGTAAGCTTTATTCTAGGTCACATGTGTTGTGTCAGCGTATATTCATGCGAAAAGGAGCAGACAAGATTCCGAGGAGCGAGTGACGTTTATGGCCACATGTTCATCGATGCGTGGCCCGGCCCCGATAAGCCACAGACAGGATGCGGCACGTGCATTTTGCTCTGTTTAGCGTGCTGCGCATTATCGACTTGATCAATCGCGGCACTCTTCCGGACGCCACATCACCCCCAATGTTATGTGGGCTACTTCAACATGCTAAACTCCAGCTTGATATCTGTCTCATTGTTCGTGGTTTATGGTCTTGTAGTGTCTTGAAGCCGCCGTCTGAATCTCTTGCGAAGAGTCAGAACCACTGGTAGTCGGAGTGGAGGAAGTCACTGGGTCGATGCTTGACTGAATCACCAGGAACTCCGATCCTTCCTCCTCTGATGCTTCGTGGTCTGGATCCATAGTTTGCTCGAGCAGCTGGTCCTTGTGACGACGCCAGGTGAAACGCGATCCTCGAGGTCCGCCTCGTTGGCCGGCCACCCCCCGTAGCTCGGCGTCAGTTGCTTGCAGCGCTCGATGCCTGGGTGCCCTTCGTGAAGTTTGTCCAGCAGCAAGTTACGCAACTTTTTCCGCACAATCACTCGCATCCCGAAAATGATGAAGCCTTGTCAAACTGCAAGGTCACTGCGTCTGTCAAAAACAAAAAAAGAGGGGGGGGGCTTAAAATCTTTTTCAGACAGACGATTTCCTCCACGTGCTAACAAAATTCACTTCACAAAGCAGGTGGTCCCGAGGTATGATGAGCACAATGCCTTGGCTTGAAAGTGGCTTTGATTGCAATGAGCAAACCGTTTCTTCTCGTTCTTGGGTTTCATCTTCCACAACTGATAGAGGGAGGTGTGAACAGAAGTGGGCTTCCACGACCTCGCTTGAACGTCTGAAGATAAGCGAACACCAAGAAGCCGACAGCCCAGCTCTGCAAACTTACTGCTGCAATGGTCGGTACAACGGTTGTTGGGGCGAAGATTGAATCGGTTGATGGTCGGTCACTAACGTGAACAACGACCATAAGTGCACAATTGAAACATTTTGACCCCAAATAATATTGCAAGAGCCTCTTTCTTGAGCTGGCTGTAATTTTTTTCGGCATTGGTCAAGGTTCACGGGGTGAATGTGATTGGCTTCGTGCTTCCATCAT